AATGTCTGGCTGAAAATACTTCCTAAGCTGTTTTGGTGGGGTTTTTGAGAAATAACTAAACCAGAGAGCTGCAAACAAACCTTTCTCATTTAGCCCACTGTGTGCAGCTGCACAGATGCTCTGATCTGCAGCCACAGTTGCGCTGAGGTTTCAAACAACCCCAGCATCAGCAGGGCAAGTCGAGGGCTTTGGTCTGGCACAGCCTAAGGCTGTGGGCTTGAATTTTGCTTCCCTCAATCGCTCTTATCCAGGTCAGATCCTGCAGCGCTGGCCGCATCGATCCTGCTCTGTGCAGTCCCGCAGGTTTGGGCCGAGTCAAACGCACAAGCTCCAGGTCTCCTTTCTCACCCAGGAATTTCCCTTTGGCTCCTCACCAGCTCCACTGGCCCCAGCATAAATGCAGCGCCTGGGGGGTGACTCCAGAGTGCCACGGGCTCCGGCAGAACCAGAGCCTGCTGTCACCCTGCTTCTTTTCAGCCATCCCAGTTAACATCTTTTTAGTTGCACGTGAAGTATCAAACACTTGTTTCTGGTCAGGTGCCTGGATGAGTTTTCCATGCATGGCATATTCTCCCACGGCAGGATCAGGTCGGTGCAACCTTCTCCATTGCTCTCCGTGGTGTGAGCCAGCTGGACCCGTGGCCATCCCAGTGCATGGCCAAGACACTACCTGGTCCCCACAAGTGGCTGGTTCCTGGCTTTCAGCCCCCTCGGGCTGTCCCGCTCCTTCCTTGGCGACTGTATTTGTTCCGTGCGTCCGTCCCACCTGGGGTTTTGCTTTATACATGCCTCCCCCCACCTCTCCTGGGCGTTATGTCCTGGTATGTGACACAGCAGATGACAATGGCCCCATCTCGACCCTCTGCGTCAGGGCAAAGGCAGCGTATGGGGCTGGAGGCGTGGGAATATCCCGCCACGGGGACGAGGGGGGTTTTGCATGACAGCCCTGAAAGCTCCAGTCGCTGAGAGCTGTAAACAGCTCTGGCAGATTTCCTGAGTCGGCAATCCCGCTGCAGCCATCGGCTCAGTCCCTGCGCCTTTGGGAAGCGCCTGGAGAGCGGGGCCAGCTCTGACAGGGGTCTGCAGAAGGGCTCTCCTCCTCCTCCCTCCCTCTCTGCTGCTCCTCCGAAACTTTGCTGCCGTCAGCTGCCTCTGTGCCCCAGCCAGGCACCCTGCCATGGGAGCCAGCGCTGCCCACGCGGTGCTGCCAGGCTCCGGGACGCCGTGGGGACATGGCCGAGCAGCCCACGCCAACTAGCCCTGGGGGACCCCAGCCCTGCCTGTGATGGAGGTAGGTCCTGGCAGCCGTTGGGGTTAGAATAAGACCGTGGGGAGGGTGGCGATGGGTGGAGGGACACGCAGGGGCTTTCGGTACCTCTGTTTGTGGCGCTCGGTGAATGAAACCCCCCGGTACGATCCGTGCCGGCGCAGCAAAGACGGGGTGGGAAGCTCCGCTGTGAGCTGAAACCCTTAATATGCCTCCCTACATTATGTAAGGAAAATTATTCTCAGGCTGGTAAATTAGCAGAGGCAGCTGCTGCTTTTTTTATAATGTAAGGAAAATTATTCCCAGGCTGGTAAATAACCAGAGGCGGCTGCTGCTGCCAGCCCGTTGTGTCCGTGTGTCCGTCCAGGGGTGGCACAGGAGCGGGCAGCGGGCAGGGCAGGCAGGGCGTGGAGGGGGACACAGGGCTGCCTGCTTCGGTCTCTGCTGTGGGCTTGAAAGGAGGGTGGGAAGTGTGAGTCAGGGCTCCTGCTTCTATTTTCAACGCTTGGGGTGGGTTACGAGGTCTGGTGGGAATAGTAGCTCCGTGCCGGGAGGCCCGGGGCTGCCAGCGCACGTGGGGACGGGACTGGGGACCCCCAGAGCATCCCCAGCTGTGCTGGGCTAATTGCAATCACCAACTCACAGGATGGATGCTGTCCCAAATTATGATTATAAAGTGCTCGGGGAAGAGAGACCATGGGAGCACCCACATTGAATGACTGCCCCAAAATCAACCTCCCCACCTCCGCTGCCCACCTGCATTTCTCTGCAGCCGTGGCCTCTCCCCCGCAGCTTTCCACGGCCACCAAGGACCTGGGGCATGGTGACACGTGCCGTGGAGCTGTCAGATCGGTGCGGCATCCCTCGGCAGCTCGGTGGTACTTGTTCTTCCCACATTTGAAGGTGCATATGGTCCTTCCC